TTCTAATCATAGGTATAGGTTCTACAGATAAATGATGATCTTTACTTTGTTATGCTACATGCGGATTGTACCAGTTCGTTTCTGGCATTGGAATAAACAAATATAATGTTTTGAAGATACTGTATATGTATTTACGCTTTGTAAGCAACACAGAGCTTAAAAACGCACATGCAAACTTTCTTAGAGCAATATAAGTACTTTTGTTTACTTGAATTCCTAGGGGGCACGGGTGGCCCAGTCGTCTAAGGCGCCGCGATTCGCTGTGCAGAGTTGCGTCCCTTGGGCACGCCAGAAACCTATGATTGTGGGTTCGAATCCCGGTTCGCCCCGATTATGTTTCTAGGTTTGTCAGCACCATACCCGTGTTCTTGGGTCTCACCGAAGTGGTAAACGTCTGAGACCTGCATCAATTCGGGCTTTCCTCCCACATTAAGCTGACACGCCATGATATAACGGGAATACTGTTAAAAGCGGCGTTAAACACAACTCACTCACTCACTTGAATTCCTGAACAATTTGTTTTGTGTACATGTTACAGCGGTATAACGTCTGGGTGATGACGACGAATACTTGTTTGGGGGTTCATGGGATTTATTCGGTCTGTTCATATCAGGGATATGGAGATCCCACCCCATTTACTTGTTACCATGAGCATGAGTGTAAGCATATATTATCAGAACAACCATCAGCCGTATATATATTACAGCTACAAATCCCATTTATATGATACAATACACATCAAAATATAACAATATATACATACAAATATTAGCACATAAATACCAACCTCGTCTCAGGGACGCAGGCTCATCCCGTCAATGCCAACAGTATGGCTTTATATGTGCCTCTATGCCTAATAATGAAATGACACAATTAAGTAAACTTTATATAATACGCACACATACATGCTTTCTCTCTCTCCCACACACACACATTCACACACACAGTAATATAAACCTAATATATATATGTACTACATCAGTACATATTTATTAACACTTTCAAAGAACTATGTACATAATCATCAACTAACTCATACAAGACTTAGTGTACTAAAATACTGTACAATATATTATTACATTTATAGCTGTAAGCTATAAATTATTGCTAATGATAAATGCATTCTAACAGATACAGCTTCAAGCTATAAACTATATAAATTACTGAAAGCACCTTATAACAATGTGGTTGCTTAACACTAATTACACTATATTCTAACTGGTTACTCTAGCCATGACTTAATATCACAATGCACACTAATGTATCATGACTTTGAAGAATAAGTAATATATTTACAACATTGCGTATCATGTGGATCAGACTGCAAATTATACTATATAAGAAATATGCAATTAAAATGATAAAAGTGTACTCAACAAGACTAAAATATCAGATCCTAACCTCCTTATGATGAATATAAATACTAAAGAAGTCTAAATTAACTTACCCCAATCAGCGCAGTGCTGTGAATCCTGCAGAGTTGTAACGCAGCAGTGACCAGAGAAGAGAAATATTGAAGTGTTTAAAGCTAAAAACCTGGTCACATGCTACAGAAACAATAGAAAAGGCAATCACTGGCCAAGCTGTGGCTGGACCAGATCACTAAAGACCTTACATAACTTTACCCCGTACTTTACCTAAGGATTAGTAGAGAGTGTTCAGGTTAGTTTAAGGAGCTATTACCATACTTAACTCAATTATTTACCTAAGTTTAAAATACGTAAGTTAAAATACACACTATTTTACATTCTGCTACATACTCAGCAAATTTATTCATGATATATTGGAGATCATTAGCATCATACAGAAGTAGTAAGACACATATGCAACTCAGTAAACAGGCAGTAGGCCGAAAGAGTGAGTGAGTATGGTTTTACGCCGCTTTTAGCAATATTCCAGCAATATCACGGCGGGGTACACCAGAAATGGACTTCACACATTGTACCTCTGTCGGGAATCAAAACCGGGTCTTCGGCGTGACGAGCGAGCGCTTTAACCACGAGGCTACCCGACCGCCCCGTAGGCCGAAAGAAGACGCATTTGCACATCTTGCAATACTAAAATCCCCTCGGAATAGAGAAAGCAATGCAAAATGCAATGTACGACTTCATACCTTCATAAAGATTCCGAAATAAAACCTCAATGTTTCCATCCATTTCATAACAACCAATTTATTCCAAGTTTTCATACACTGTCGAAAATCGCTTGAAAATCTATAAAAATACAAAATAGCATTCATTAATGTCTTTGTGAATATGATCAGTTGTGGAGTAAGATTCAGTAAGACTGTATTTGTTATAAGTGTTCACTTTTTTCGATGACTATAAGCAGTCTTGTATTTCACAAAGAAGTGAAAATATTTGCCAAGTAGCTGATAAAGGAGCATCATTGGATTTTCAGGAGGGGAAGGGTGTTTTTTCTAAAATAAAAATAAAGCCTCTGTTTTACTGAAAAACAAATTACATATGTCATAAAGAAAAGGAACGTGTGCTGAGTCCACTTATATGTACAAAGCTCCGAAGTACGTACTCTTTAGCCCTCATTAGCCCTTCATACGCCAATTAACTTACAAATGTTTATGATTATTATTATTATTATTATTATTATATACTCAACAATAAAAGTTCCCGTGACACCAATATTTTAGTGTTTTTTTCAAACAAGTAAAGTTTGGTTTTCAATATTGTAGTACATGTACAAGTCACAAAAACGCACCTGCTTCAGAAAAGCATGCATTCCATGCAAAAGCTGACTTTTATGCAAGCCCCATGCATTCACTCCCCAAGAATGGGTATAAAAACATGTGCGTTAACGGGATTCCATATGCATTGTTTAGCATCGTGCCGACAACAACCACTCGTGATTTTGCAAGACAATTTAACGTCCACAGAAACGCCATTTGGTGTTTATGGCAACGTTGGCAACAGACGAATGCAGTCAGAGACCATACTCGGAGTGGCAGGCCACGCGTAACCAATAATCGACAAGACAACTGGATTCGAACAACACACCTACGAAATCGATTACAGCCAGCAACAGTGACTGCAAGAAGCATTCCTGGCCTTCGACGAATATCTTCACAAACCGTACGTCGCCGCCCCAGATGTGCAGGGATTGTCGCCAGAAGACCCGCCAGACGTCCCATTTTGACAGGAAACCACCGTCAAGCACGTCTAAAGTGGTGCGGACAGCGTTTATGCTGGACGGCCATGTAGTGGGGACAAGTTCTATTCACTGACGAGTCTCGTTTTCACCTCAGCCACAGCGATGGACGGATTCGAGTGTACCGACGTCGAGGTGAACGTTACGCCAATCATTGTGTCATGGAAGAAGATCGGTCCGGGGGCGGCAGCGTTATGGTATGGGGTGGGATTACAGCAAGACAGAGGATCAATTTGATAGACAGATATCCCACAGGACTTTGTGCGACGCCTGGTCCATTCCATGAGACGAAGGTGTGTTTCTTGCATCGCAACCAGAGGTGGACACACACGCTATTGATTTGTAAATTGACATTTTGGCATGTTCATGTTATTTTTTTTTATGAAATCACACATTTTCTGAAGTCAGTATGGCAAATTAAACCATTTGAACACTTACAGGAGTCTTTTATCTGTTGCAAACCGAAATTGTTTCAGATTTGGTAAAATACATAACTTTGCATTAAATCTTATTCAATGTCACAGGAACTTTTGTTGTTCAGTATATTTATGGTAATATTCTCTTTGGGTTTATGTTTTTTACTGATGACATCAAACATTCCCCATTAGCAATATACTACCAGTTATCTCGCGAAAAAGATATATCTCCTTAAAGCGAGCGATGATAGCGTAAATATCTTTAAAAAAAGGCCCTGCAGTAATATCCTTTGTAGCTTGACTGCCACAAAAGAGATTTAAGAGATCTTCATTTGATAAAAGAGATACATCAGTCAGTCGGTCTTCGGGAGAGTGTAATGGACTGTACACAGATAACAACATCACACGTGGTTAGAAAAATGTTATCATTGCCAGTGTTTCCCATGAACCTGTCATGTATGTGACCATTGTTTCAGTGGTTGCATGGGCTTTTAGTGTTGATCTCTATTTATGGAAAAAAACATAGGTACCCACAGGAATATAAACTGGGTCTCTCAAATGCGTAAATTACTGTTCGAGACATGTTTTAACGTTAACAGATTTCCTACTTTGGAATGATACGCTTCATAGATCTTCTTTTTTGAATTGGTATTGTGGTCATAAGTCTGTCATAGAAGTTTGAAAATAATCGCGAAACAACTCTTTCCATATTAATAAAAAAGCTCTAAAAGAAAACCCAGAGTCGATTGATTGAATGAATTTATTTTTGTGGTTTCAACGGTCTTTGGGGAGAACGTATTTGTCCCGAAACAATTTTACGATCTCGTAGTTCTCCCGTTTGTAACATATATTTTTTAATCATAGATTTAATCATAGATAAAATTCTCCTTCAACCAGACTCGTATCGTTCAAATTTAAGATCAAACACCTCCGCAATATCTATATCTATAAGCTTTAAACTTGTTCTGAATGATTTAAAACTGAATAAAGGAAGATGCTAAATATTGAAAAGTCCCTAAGAATTGGTCCCGTCTGTAACCTTTGTGTTGAAGACGAATTTAATTTATGTTTATTTGCCCTGTATGTAACAAAATAAGAATGGAATATTTACCCGCCTAGTCATTTTGGTGTATATCTGCTGATATCTTTGAATGTCTGCTGTCAAACAAAAGGTATAGCGTTCAACTACAAGTATCTTTAATACATATTCATCATGCTTTTGTGTTACGTCAGTTGGTGTTGTCTTGATACTCCGGATACTGCAATATTTGTAAATATAAATGTTTATCTATGTAACTCACCTGTATATTGGCCAATGGCCTTTCATCCGATAAACCATTGAATTGAAATTTCCCCCAGGTGAAAAACAAAGCAATGATTGACAGGTGATACGTACTATCTCCTGGGATGTTAAACAGGCAATACCTTCTTCTATCATTCTCCCTAATCTTCTACCAGAGCGAGGATCCCACTATGTTGCGCATGCATAGGACGGTTGTGGGACAGTTAGCCCTGGTTCTAGCAGTACTTGGTCTGATCGTTGTTACGATGATGAGAACAAGCACTTTTCAGCTAAACACGCGTGTTCTGTCAGATCTCTCTGGCGGACGAAATGGCATGCATGCAGCTGAAACATTCAGACAACAGAGGGACAGACTGTCCAGTATATTGAACATGGCAAAGCGGGAACTAGCCGTGATGAGCTGTAATATGATAGAGTTAAACACCAAACTCCAAAAGGTATGTATATGGATTACACTGTTCAGTACTGTTTATCGGTCACTTCTGAATTACGGTGTGGGTTGTTGCACATAATATTAATCACTTTTTTCAGCCTGAGATTTGATTCTTCAAATACCGCTGTGATAAGGCTGTGGCGTTAAACAACAAACAAACCATATTAACATTCTTAATCTCGTAAATTTTCCATAGGTAAGTCCTATAGCTACTATAAACAAGTAACTGAATGAAGGTATGGTACGACTTTTCACATATGTCCACAAAGGCAGATAGGATGAAACAATGAGTTGTATGCCAAAACGGAATTTTGAATTTTGAAATTTTGAGGGATTGATTTTAGCCTGCTACACCGGGATCAGAACATTTGTCGGGTTAGACGGAATGTCAGATTACTGAGTCTACTGTATAGACCCTTTACACAGAGTCGATTTAACAATAACTTCCATGTTGTTATAGATCAAATCATTCAGTATTGTGAAAAATACCGCCTATATGACAAATCCGTTCATCATTTACCAAATGTATTAATTCTTGATGTTCATGTTGGTCCACAGTCTCAATGTCAAACAATCATTTTTGTTTAAAATGAAAATATGTCTTGATTAGAGAAAGAATAGATCGTGCTTAGAGTTTGAAACTATCAACCATTTGTCTACAAGTTCCAAAATAAAACACATCTTTCGGTGCACGTACAAAAGAGACATAATCGGCCAGTGGTCTTTTGATACCATTTTCCCAAGGAAAGGGCGTTAACTGACTATGAAAGTCCAGTTTCCACCCTTGCCGAACTAGGATGGAATTATGGAGTAAAGTTATATTTTGGCTGGACCAATGAGTTCACGCACAGTCCAATCATGATCAAAACTGCGTAACGAAATCGACAGCCGGTTCGTAAACTGCCGTCCAAAATTCGGTTGCAGGATTTGCAAAGCATATTTGGAAAGGGTTTTGTCAATTATATTGTTCAATCTTGGAAAATGATCATTGTGTACATGGCTGATCATTGTGTATTAGATTGTACAGGAAAGGATTTCTTAATGCAAGATTTACCTTACAGAATAACAAGGATACACACTTACAATAAATTACATAATTAATTATTCCCCTCACCTCGATTTTGAAATATTTCAATTCAAGAAAACAAAAAGGGTCCTATAGTTTCCTTCCAGTTTGGAACATTTGATGTCAGTCGGGACAACCTTCATATACATTGTACGGCATATAATCTGATATGAGTTCTACTATCTACTTTGGTTTACAACAAACGAAACAATACTATTTTGTTTGTTTGTTTTGTAACGCTGCAGTCAAACATATTCCTAGCTCTATGACGACAGTCTGTAAATAATCGAGTCTAGACCAGACCAGAAACATATATTGTTTTATATTAAAACTATGAGCCTGCATATATTTTTACGAAAAATACCTTCCAAAAATGTAATGTGTGTGGCAAACAATTTCTTTTTCATCTGCCTGAAGCCTAATTATTTATTTCAAGAATTTTCTAAAGGCAATTTTCTTTCTTTTATAAAATCCCTGCAACCCCCTAAAGTTGAAAATACAACAAAACCTGTTTTCATCGATATTCTTTGAAAAACAAGCCTAAAATCCCAAGTATTGCCAGTATCAAAACTAGTCTGCACCAGATAACCCAGTGATTGACATCATGAGCATCGATCTACACAAATGGGAAACGATGACATGCATCAACCAAGTCAGCGACCTGACCACCCGATCCCGTTAGTCGCTTCTTTGTACAAGCATGGATTGCTAAAGACTAATTGTAACCCGGATCTTCACGGGGTGAAACAATGTTAGAAGATGAGCACAAGTATGACGGCCAACAATACATCTCATTCTGAGCAATTTGAAAGAAACTGTTCTTTTCACAAAATTTTAAATATGTATGTGAGAAAATGTAATTGCTTGTTTTCAAATTTGGTGTGAGCTTTTATCAACAAAGAATATCGAAGTCCCTGTCCAGGAGTTCGCTCGTCACGCCGAAGACCCGGGTTCGATTCCCGACATGGGTACAATGTGTGAAGCCCATTTCTGGTGTCCCCCGCCGTGATATTGCTGGAATAGTGCTATAAGCGGCGTAAAGCCATACTCACTCACTCACTCTGTCCAGGAGATTGAAGTACCGTAACATGTTTGTTCCCCGTTGTGACATGTAATTCGTATCATAATCGATGTAACTATCATCAACCAGTGTTTTAAGCCAACTCATTGCTGAGCATTGTTTTAATATTGGCTAGTATTGTGCACAAACCACCAGGAGCAAGTGATGACGTAAGTCCTGGTGGGCTATCATGCAGGAAGTTGAGGAACAGGAAGTTGAGGAACAGTAAGTTCCCATGATCCCCAGCGAGGTGGCCTAGCTTTGGTTATTGGTGGTCTATAGCCCGTGTTTTAAACAGTAGTAAATAATATTGTTATGCCAAAATGTGTTTGACAAATTATTTTTCGATGCAACTTTGTATTCATGACTCAAATGTATACACATCATCTTGTTCTCGTCGCTCTATTGCTGAAATAATGCCGATGCGAGTTAAAGTTTAACTCACTCACTCGTTTATACGCTTGACATATCTTTTGGCCTCTAAGTCAACAAATCAAATGTACATTCATTCTCTCTTCGTCATTTAATACTGACACAAACATTATGAAGCATATGCTCGAAGTATAAACTGCATGTGTATTTACGAATATCCTATATCCACTTTTTCCGTTTCATTCATCAGACCGCGGTATCTGCTGCAGGAGGATGGTGCAAAGAATCAAGTAAATCCGACAGTGGACAACATATGTTTGATAAATTTCTTGCGGAGCAACTATCATTATTATTTCAAAACCAAACTGTCGCAAGTTTTGGTGATGGTCCAGGTGACTACAAGAAATACTTGGACAGAACAGGCAGACTTCGCACCTACGATGCTTTTGATGGCGCTCCCTTCGGACAGGAAACCAGTGGAGGGGTAGTCCGGTTTTTAGATCTGACGGCGCCGCAGTATGGACTTCCGGTATATGATTGGATCATCAGCTTGGAGGTGGCCGAGCATATTCCACCTCAATATGAAGAAAGATATATTGACAATATCGCGAGGCACGCTAATAAAGGACTTGTACTGAGTTGGGCGGTGCCTGGTCAAGGCGGTCTCTCGCACGTCAACAATCGAGCCTTGTCATATGTACGGAGTGTGCTGGCAGATAAGGGTTTTGAAACAGATATGACTGCTAGTAAGGTTCTCAGAGAAAAAGCATCTTTACCATGGTTAAAACAAAATGTGTATGTTTACAGAAGGCGGTTTGATAGTCCACTCGACCCACTTGATGCTTAAATATGTCTTGTATAACACAAATGTGGTGATAAATCACAGTTCACATATAATTGCCAATTTGTAGCTCACCTGACCAAAGCTTACGTGATCAAATGCAGGTTGTTTGTCAATCGACGTCCCTTGTGCATTGTAAACATAGGCTCCGTAACCACTACACCGATGAAGCTGAAAATATGTTCATGAAGTTGGAATCCGATTTTCAATGCGGCCGCAATGGCATACACATGGGAAAACATATAGCCCTTATTTATCTTCAATATGTCATGAAATTTGATATACGGGTATTTGGCAGTTGGGTTCAAATGTAAAATTTAAAATTTTGAATTTTGAGTTTACTTCGCGATGATAATACTCCTCTGTGATAGAAGCCACCGTGAATGTACTGCCCATTACTATTATCGCTCGATTTTATTTTTTCGATATGGCCGCCATATGACAAAAAGAGGAGGCACGAAAAAGCGCAATAAGCTCAGTGGAAATCTTAAATTCTATTCTAATATATTCTGTCAGATCGTGCGCTTTGGTATCTTTATTGCTACTGGTTTTCGCATATATTTCAAACATGTTTGCCAAGACAGAACTGTGAAAGTTTGTGTGCATGATAATGGCTATATGAAATCGAATACATGATGATTAGAATTCCAGTTTGGTGTCGCAGACGATGTTACATATGCAATGTTTTCTCCTTCTACTCAAAATGCATTGAACTTAATGTGATGTAACTTATAATTCGGATATGTTACATTGCTTAATAGTTTCATATTTGTCAAGTATTGCTGTCTGAATGCTTCTTTGAGAGGCATTTAGAAGTTGGAGTACAAAGTAAAGATAAGATATATGGATGAACAACTTGTTTATTACAGCCAGGAGCGACGTTTCGGTGTAGGTTCTAACACTTTACCTACTTGATAACGGTGTTAGAGCCCACACCGAAACGTCGCGCCTAATTATAATAAAGAAATTGTTCATCCATATATCTTATCCTTATTTATCTGAATGCTGACATCAAGGCTGTCGTCTTTAGTGACAGCATGAGCTGTTGAGTACATATCTAGGTGAGCTACAGTGTCGTGGAACTGTATTTTTTTCGTTTTGTAGAGTTGGTATTAAGTTGGTAACACTACACTCTCCTCAATAAAAACCCCTTTAAATGCATGTTTTTATTTGAGTCTGATAAACTGAAATATTAGGCTTCTCAAAGAAGTTATGACAGACAGAGTTGAAACATGTGACTAAGCAGAATTAGGGATTGGTCAAGACGTTCTCCAGTGTAGGCATAGCCAGCGCAATAAGGGTAGCGGCGTATTTTAAACATCTCATGCCAAAATGACGTCATGGAATTTTGACCCTGGATTCTGGGTATAAAAACAGACACGCTATTTGTTTGGCTACCAGTGAATAGGATCATAATCAGAGCGAATCTGAGGATAATAGGATCCTAGTACACCTGAGAAACGTAGCTCTGAACAGGTCATTGCGGCGCCTGAGACTAGTTCCCCGTGATCCACGATTGTACTAAGAAGGGACTGTGTTAAAATACCTTTGGGATGCATCTTGAATTGTATTAAAAGTATCCCTGTGTAACCAGGTCAATATAGGTCCCCAAACTATGCTTAAAGGGATATTTAACTCAAAATTAACATAACGTATATGAAAAGAAACCACACAAAAAACATAATTAAGACACCTTGCACACTTGTATGGATGCAAGTATGAGAAGTACTAGATGAGAATCGTCATAATTCCCGATTCCCTGGAGGATTTAAAAAATAATAATATGAACAATGTTTTGTTAGTACTTGAGTATAGATGGTGAAAAGTTAGGATATGAGTGGAATATTCCTTTGCGACCAAATTGGATGAAATGGTGAGGCTGGTTGACTTGGTTGATTGAGTGTTGACATACCCTGACTTCGTTGTTTATACAACACACGCCGTCTAAACTGAGACATTGTCTCACTTACACATATAACAGGTGTACATAGGTCGACACCTGGAATGAAAACGGACTTCAGACCGTGCACAACAGTCCACCTTTAGTGTTTCAAAAAGCTTCTCAGAAAATTTCAGCGGTGAAACGTGAAGTTTGTTCGAAGGTACCTTGAAGGGCTTTCATGTCACAGTTTGTCTGTTAAAACACACGGGGCCTGATCTGTGGTGCAAAGACATATAAGCATATATTTAAGAATAATAGTAAAATGGATGAGAGTGTGTACTGCAATGAGATTGCTTGAAACAAAATGGGATTAGATCACGTAAATCTTTCGGACTTTGGGATGAATTCTATTATTGAGGAATATTCTTTCTCCTCTCAATTTTGAAAATTTCATTCGGCATTAATACCACGTTTAATAAATATTACATTTGAACAATAGCTTTTTTACATTCTCATAACAAGGCGGATTCAATTACCAGGGTGCTTTGAACCATGACGCCGTAACCTCATAGTATTCCAGAGTGACGTCATGACTTTCTCACAACTGTGAGAATTCAGGTAGAGGGCGACGTCGATGACAGCACCGTCCATGGTAACGTTGCCGATTTCTTCTTGTGGTTTGCGGACCTGCATTGTCCTCTGTGTCGAGGCCCAGAAATGTAATGCCGATAGCGGAAACAACAGTAGCACCAAACTGATTCAAAATATCCGGACAAATACAGGTTTTGGTTACATTCGATTGTAACTTACTTACCCCGATTGTGTGCTGCATACATCACTGTAGAAAAGAACACAACTTTTCAAATTTTGAACATAAACTTGCACAGCAAAAGGGTAAATGCTTGTCAAAGTGATACAAACCGTTGAAATGTATGTGCAGGCGGTCAAAGTCCGCTGTATGTACGGGAATTATCCTGAAAGCTGACTTCATGTCAAACTTAGATAACAGCTGCTTGGCCCAGCTGTTGTACAATCGCCTCGGCCTCGTCAAAGGGAGGTAGGTAACAGAAGAATCTTGCTGATACATATTATCATTATTTGACTGACCATCCGGGAAGGAAAGATGATATATTATCATATTGTTATCCTTAACGGGCCAACCTGCCGATGTAGTAGCATCTTGCTTTTTTGGGGACCAACCTTACCAGCGAAAGGTTGCATGGTAGTAGGGCCGAGCAATCCTACCCAACATTGTCTCTTTGTCAAAATTGTCACTTAACATGTGAACATGGTAGCAGATACGGTAAATTACTAAGCCTGACTGGAGTTGGTGCAAGTGACGTTGGGTTTCTGACGCTGGCTACCGGAACTTCTTGTTACGCGTGGTGGGCGTTGCTTGTTGTGGACTGAGGTTGGATCTGACGATCGCGTGGCCCTGTCCCTTGAATGCAGACATCGGCGGTGGCCCAATGCGTGGTGTTCCCACACTTCGCACATTTACGTGAATATCTCCAGGTTGATCGGTTACATGCACCTTTGTTGAAGTCCGAGCACAGATTATTATCCCCAGCCACGAATTGGGGCTCGGGATATAGGTCCGCCCGTCCGTCCTTCCTTCCTTCCTTCCTTCCTTCCGTCCCTCCGTCCGTTTCTCAATGGGGATTTTTTTCTCCAAAACTATTTATGTCAGAAATGAAATTTCACACACTGCTTTTGCAGGTCATGATCTTAAATGAGTTCAGAAATGGATGTCGTAAATTCAAATTCTACAGAGTTATGACCCTTGCTCCGTGTTTTTCAACTTAGTGCATACTGTGTGAAATGGGGACAAGATTTCTAAGAAAGTACTGGGGTTGCACGAATGAAAGTTTGCATGCTCCTCTAAGAAAATTAGTCCCGTAAAATACCTTTATCAAAGTTACGGCCCTTGATCCATCTTATTTTACTTAGTGCATCGTGTCCCCATGTTTGGAAAGGTACCGTCACTGGGAAACCCCAAATCAGCGCTGAAACCCGTTGATATTGATTTGGCACGGGTCCTCACCACAGATAACCATTGATCCCGGACCATCACCTTGTCTGGTCTCTTACCATTCTGTGCTGGAATTGCCATCTCACATTTGAGAGGTACCGTATTTCCTCTATTAGACGCCCGGGCTTCTATTAATTTCGGACAAGCCTTTGACCCGGCGTCAATTAGAGGCCCGGCTTCTATTAATACCCCCATTTCACTATGACCACGAATGTAATTTAGGTCCCAAAAAGGGATAATTAATTGTATCAATTGATCGACCCGTCGTCTATTAGAGGTCCGGCTTCTATTTTTTGCACTGAACAATTGACCCGGCTTCTATTAGAGACACAGACACATACTGCATAAGATAAGGTACACAGAGGGCGAACAATGTTTGTAAAGGTATTTAGACATATATACGCCTGGAAGGAAGCCGTTCAAGCCCTAAGGGCCAGCGTTTATCTGAGCTGCCCCGCGACCGCACAGGTGGAAACAATACCTTACCTGTGGGTTCGGATCGCAAACTGAACGCCCCTTCGTCATCGTCAACCGAGGGAGATCCGAGGTAGAATAAGTCTGCAGCAACCCATGCTTGCCGTAAAAGGCGACTATGTTGTTTTGGAGTAAGAGGTGACTAACGGGATCGGGTGGTCAGGCTCGCTGACTTGGTTGATCCATGTCATCGTAACCCAATTGCGTGGATCGATGCTCATAATGTCAATCACTGGATTGTTTGATCCAGACTTGATAATTTACAAACTGCCATCATATTGCTAGAATATTGCTGAGTGCGGCGTTAAACAACAAACAAAACAAAACATCGTCGCAACTTCTGACAGTTTATAGCCTTGTGTCCAGATCCTCTCCTATAGTTGGAATGGAAGGAATCCGATGTCATGTTGGTCACATGGATTTGTAACGCAAAAAAATAGCAGCTACAAGATATATGGTCACACCAAGTGTCAGCATACTATATAAAAGGAAAGGGGTGTACCGAGGCCACACTCACTAAGTTCGTTCAATTTAATAGTATACTGACACTGGGTGCTACCATATATTTGTAGCTGCTATTTTGTGCGTTACAAGCCCCTGTGATGTTGGTCGGATATGCCGATTGAGTCCCATTGGCATCCCTGAAAAGTTTTGCAATAGTTTGGAAAGATTACTGATTAGTATGAATACCAGGGTTACTTTCAGGGTCAGGATACTTGGTAACATTGTGATTGTTGTTGTGAAGCAGTCGGAAAATTACTTCCAAGCAGTTTGCGACCAAGAAGTTCATGATCATCAAATAAAAATTGAAGTGAAATAGAGAAAGCGAATGAACCCGGTGCAGTGTTCGACCAGAGTGAGTGATTGAGTGAGTTGGGTTTAACGCCGCTTTTAACAGTATTCCAGTCATATCGCGACGTGTCAGCTTAATGTGGGAGGAAAGCCCGAAGTGAAGTAGGTCTCAGACGTTTACCACTTCGGTGAAACCCACGAGCACGGGTATGGTGCTGACAAACCTAGAAACATAATCGGGGCGAACCGTGATTCGAACCCACAATCATAGGTTTCTGGCGTGCCCAAGGGACGCAACTCTGCACAGCGAATCGCGGCGCCTTAGACGACTTGGCCACCCGTGCCCCCTGTTCGACCAGAAAGTGGATTGCGTGAGAATGATGTCTTAGTGTAACCAGGTGGACACCAAACAGATTCCATTTACATTGGGCGTAAAACGCATAATAACAGTTAAAATAATATGATTGGATCACTGATACTCAGAAATAACACCAGCTGTTCACGAAAAGGGTAGGCATGTCTAAACAAAATGACATTTTCGAAAAATGTCAGATCATAAGTTGGTGTAGGACGTATGGAAACCATATACAGAATAGTTTCAAGAAGTTGGGTTCTGAGGAGAACATTGACAGATGCTTGATCCTGCCTACCGTAAAAATGCATAAATTGGAATCCAAAATGGCTGAAAAGTACATGACGTATGACCTAAGCGAAACAACTAAAGGTGACGGGCATCTAATGATACGATACACTGCCCAAACTGACACATATTGGGTGAGCAGTTGAGGAACATTAGCTTCAAAATAGGTTGTTTTTAATTATTGCTTTTTCATTGTTGTGAGTGAGTATGGTTTTACGCCGCTTTCAGCAATATTCCAGCAATATCACGGCGGGGTACACCAGATATGGGTTTCAAACATTGTACCCATGTTGGGAATCGAACCCGTGTCTTCGACGTGACGAGCGAACGCTTCAACCACTATGCTACCCGACCGCCCCTTTCATTGTTAGCATTGAGAGCTATAACTCTGTATGTACTCAACAATAATAGTCTATATACACAGGGGACAAAATCGGACAACTGACTTACAGGAGGTTTAAAAGCGGTCAAGTTTATGCTTAGAACCCGTTTCTGACAATGGAAAGGATCGTAAAACACAGCACATAAGTCACGAGGTTACAGGGTAGTGCGGCAGAAGGAAAGGTTATCCAGCCCCATTGTCCTTGGCTCTATGGTGTTAAGGATTAGTGCTTTGGCTTCGCCCGCATCTAACTGTACATGGATCCGTTTCATCGGAGAAGACATACATACCCGAAAAGAGCTCAAACTGAAGTGAGAAAACCTTACATCCACTAAGACTGCAAAAACGCATAACCTTTCACCAAAGAAAGCCAAAGAACATAAAAGTGACAGTCATATCATCCACCTAAAACGTGCCGAGCTGCTGAGGAGCTTCATGGTGAACTGTGTCGTTTCAAGTTAACGGTTGTTGAATTATCTGCCCTTAGTCCTGCGACCAATGAATGTCAGAAAATAGCCAGGTTAAATTATGTCACAAAAATTGATTTTTCAACATTTGATTTTTCAGCTTTATAGACCACTATCCCACATGATAAACTTAAGTAAACACTTCATTCCTTGATGGGGCGGTCGGGTAGCCTAGTGGTTAAAGCGTTCGCTCGTCACGCCGAAGACCCAGGTTCGATTCCCTGACGGGATCGGGTGGTCAGGCTCGTTGACTTGGTTGATGCATGTCATCGATCACAATTGCGTGGATCGATGCTCATGAATTAATCGCTGGATTGTCTGGTCCAGACTCGATTAATTACAGACCGCCGTCATATAGCTGGAATATTGCTGAGTGCGGCGTTAAAGAACAAACAAACCAACTAACCAACCAACCATTGGGCTTTTGTTACAGAACGCGGTTATCAAGAATACAGTTACATATCTTTCTTCAGAGGTTCATGTCAATTTGTCAAAATTGAAAGCAAATGCCATCTGAAGTTTACTGAGAAAACAGTATGTGAAATGCTGGACCTCCTCATAGATAACACCTTTGTACAACTTTGTGGTAAGACATTCAGGCAAGAAGTAGGCATCCCTGCATTTCCGTGAACTGGCTGTGCTTTCCTTTGCTAGGTGGGACCAAGTACACGGCCACGGTTGGTTGACACTCGTGTTGACAGTCGTAATAGTTGGCTTATTTCGGAATAATATGATCGGTTATTTGTCATTCCTGCAAAGTTATCGGTTCAACAGTTCATCGATGACATCAGCGAGATCGTAATATCTGGACATTACAGCACAGTAGTGGTTAAGGGATTTCGGAATTTTTTCAGAAATGTTAAGGCTGGGACAGTCAAAATTTAAGAAACATATAAATTGTTCCAGCCTGAGGGCAATGGATGGGATTCATTGTTCCATTTTTGGCTTTTTGGCTTAATGTAAGCTGGACAGGTTGAAAAGGGGAACAAAAGAACATGTATGCAGTTGTTTTCATTTAGCTGTTCAAGTTCCAACATGGAAGAACGTGATCGTTTACGAAAGAGAAGATAGAGAAGGGCGATGATGTCGTTTGATCAAGATTTCAACATTCAAGACCTCAGTAAAGCTTTCAAAAAGTTTTATGGTAGACATGTGGAGGACATCTCGTGTTTTTCAGGTGAACAATTGCCTGTGTTTGTGACGGGTGCCACCGGTGGAGCAGGATACGCTCACAGTTTCGCGAGCACCTGGTATCATCACTATTTGATAATGATTCATAAACACATGCTCATGATATAGTTGGAATGGTAAAATCGACTCTGCTTGGCAGAGATTTCTTATGAACACGGACAGGGTTTTGTCGCTATTAATTGTATGCACTAGTTCCCTTTGGTCCGCATTCTGGTGATTGCGGCTGGAGTTACAGTTGTTACATAAAAGGGCGGAATAAGGAATAATAATATATAAACAGAACTATTACAATAGGGCTCTCACTCTCACCTTTCTACATTATTTAGAAAAATAACAACATCATTCTGGTCATTACTTACCGCATCCTGTGTTTCAGTCCATTGAAGGTCCACTGAAGGTGGCATCTGGCAGCAGCCCTCCGCTTGAACCGATTTTGATAGGAGATGGTTGTTTACACTGAACTACCCATATATTATGACAGTCATTCTTGTGTAAACGCTTTTGTATTGCCTTCTTTGATAGTTTCACTCGTAATGACTGGTTATAAAGTGAAAAATATCCTGTAACGTCTTCCTTCTGTGTCTCTCTATTCTGATGAGACGGGAGTACAAGTTTTACAGGTACGTGGAAAAGTTGATATTTCTGAATTATTACAAATTAAATGTAAACGGTAACTTATTTAATACAATTGATTGTAGTTGGCTGGCCTGAAAAGTGAAACAGAAGGCTCTCTGCTTGCTCAGAACCAGTCACTCCCCACCCGAAACCGTCAATGTGTGATTTTGCATCAACATTTAAATATGTAATGTAGAATATGCAATGAATTTATTGAGAATGTCCAACACATTGTCAGTGGATGCCAAGCTTTGGAACAAACACAGTTTCTAAGCGACACGATGGAGTGGCTTGATCCTTTTTTTACCGTCTTCGCTATGCTTGTGGTTTTGACAGATCTATACATGGTACGACCAAGAATATATATAGAGGGCGTCATGGAAAATGATAAATACAAATTTCTTTGCAATAGGCCAGTATACAGCCTCAAACATATCAAGGCCAACAAGCCTGATCTTGTCCATTGATAAATCCAATGAAATAATTTATATCATTGAATTTCCTGTCCCTTTTGACTCTTAATATAATAGACAAGATTCAGGAAAGATTTGGCAAATAAGCGGACCTTGCTTTCGAAATGTCACGCTTGCATCCCAAGTACCAAGTTGTCCATTGACTCCCCATTGTTCTCGGTGCCTTACGTTTGGTACCTCCCAATCTGTTGACTGACATTGGTTTGCTACCAGGAATACAGCCCTTCTGACAATTTGGGTAAAGCAGAAGGCTACAGTGTTGGGGAGTCTGCACATTCTCCGAAAAGTTGTGGGTGGGTTTGACACGGCAGCGCTTCCTTGGAGAAGTCCCATTCGCTGTCTGGGCTTTGTGCAAAAGGGGCAAGGGCCCTGAGCTGATGATGAGCCTAACCAGTCTGACTGTGCCAGGATCACCCAAACCCTTTTAGCTGCATTTATTTTTATTTTAATCTGTACAAAACTAAGTTTTTCTCTCTCCTGCCGCCAGTAGGACGTCACGTGTTTCCCACCTTTTGTATGGTAGATTGCTCAGACATATGATATACACGCATACAGTATTGGGTTGGCTCGCCCGGTCTGGCCATTCGACAAACTGCAATTGAAGGGTAGCAGTATCAAGGCTGCGACTGGCGTAAAGCGGTGCTACATTTGGAGGACAGGGTTTGGTCACAGATGGTAAGTGTCCCTGATTATTTAACTCCTCAAATACAGGTTTGTAAAAGTTGGAAATTTTATGATTAACCACATCATGCAATGCAAACATCCACGTGAATATGTGTTTGAAACCTCAACATTTGAATTGAACATAATTAAAACAGATTATAACGCCAATAATAATGCCTGCCTATGCGTACAATAGTCTTCACATCAGGGATCAACATTCGTATTCAAACTGTCGATTTAAGAGTTACACATTTTGATGTTTTACGTTCAACAGACGCTACATAGGTGTGAATTCCTCATTCATTTTAGAATCAAATGGCAAATGGTCTTTGTCACCAATGCAAATTATCTGGTAAAATCAAACGAAATACATTACGTGTGTAAACCAACACTGTGCTCGGAAAACTGTACTTGTTCTGGAAACAAGGCAAAATTCAGAATTTACACTGTGTAGCATTTCTCCTATTTTGAGAGATCCATTCGTCTTATTGTTGCAACATTCCAACTGAAAGCAGATTTTTTTTATTGATAGTGATGTTAAAAGTTAAATATTAGTTCATGAATATAACGAGATCTCGCGAGAGCGACACTCAATTCAAGATGCCGGCGCCCAGCGAATGTGTCTTTGGGGTAACTGGTAACTGGTAACTGGTATAACTGGTAAGTAGTATTCAATGCGATAGTATATGTGACGTAATGGAGGTAGGTTGCTAGGGGGATGACGGTTAGACGTTAGTCTGGTTGAGAGTACTGCTGTGTGCGCACGTACATGTATTGTTGTCAAATATATACCCGAATAAACCACCTTGACTCGAAACATGATCGTTGTGTCATCTGGGCCATATTCCACAAAATTCCCCTTTTCTTCAACATTTTCCTGTTCACCCCAGAAACCTACCTCCCTCATGTCACATGTACTATCGCATAGAACAATATTTATATTAGATTGAATGTTATATGTACAGGGATGTTAGTGAATGTGAACTCTTAACTCTTACACTAATCTTGTTCTTTATTGTTATGTTAAGACAAACCATATTCCGATTTAACAGTGAGAATTCCTTTGAGATAGAAAAAACAAGCAAAATATGCTTCAAATTTTCAACAAAAAGGATACTTTTTGGAAGTTAATCCTCATCAGTATTAGCAGATATTCATTAGTAAACCAAATAACAAAAGTTTGTTTGACCGATTGTTAGTTTAAATTCCATACGTATATTGACTACATCTTGGATGTCCCACGTCTTTTGCATAAGATCCCGAATATTACTTTGATTGCTGGTTCACTGTCGGGGATAAGAAAGGAAGATGAGATCTGTCTTACATGTAGAAAACCCTTGCCATAACCATAAGGAATATCCACTGAGAGTAAGGTCAATAGTACGATTTAAAATCTGTCTTGTGTTTATGGATCACTATCAAACACTGACGATCCCAAGAAAGCCTTGATGCGACAGATAAACATATGGCGCCGAAACGAGACACTGTGTGCGTGCACACTGTGTGGTAGCACCACAAAAGAAGTCCAATTTAGACGTCTTCAATTACAACTTGATTGAAAACATACAATGGATTTGATTGCATGTCTTCGGCGCACACCCATGCATTACCTGGCTGGGATTGTCACATGGACAATGCTGTCAAGAAACGATATAACAGGACAATGTAGTATACGGCTTTGTTTGTTGTATAACGTCGCACTACCCAGTATATGACACGCTACCAACCAAGTCACCGTGTCGGACTATCCGATTCATTCAGTTACCTCTTACGACCTGCGGGGCGGTGGGGTAGCCTAGTCGTTAAAGTGTTCTACCCGGCATCCCAACTGGTACAACAATCTCGTACCGGTCTACAAATAAAGTGTTAAATGCCACCCCTCTATGTGTTCCAGACTAATGTCTGTGATAAACACTGTATTTCAAGGCATACTCGAAAATACACTTGATGTGTTTTATAAGTAGACTCCATGTATACCACACATTTCACGCTAAGCTTAACTTAGAATACACTGTCATTGCATATGTTTTCCATCCACTTTATTACTTACAAGTCCCCATGTACTTTTCACAAACCCTCTCTTTAACAATTACAAATAGTGCACGACCTTTATAGGGGTTGATTGGGCTGAGCTCTCTGTGGTGATCATCTGACATCTTATAGACACACCTACTCTTTAAAGGGATTGTTTAGGGTGTGCTCCCTCTGCTGCCTCCAAATAAAATATTCATATTTATTCAACAGCTGTGGGTTTTGGTATTACGCCTCTTTTTAGCATGGGCTAGCGAAAAAGCGAGACACGGAAAGTACACACTGTTCACATATGGGGAATCAAACCCTGGTAGTGGCCGTTATGAACGAACGCTTCAACCACAAGACCATGCAGGTGTCAGTGGGCCTTTTCTGTTGCCTGGCGGTATTTATTAGTGAGTGAGTGAACGTCACATCTGCTCTATCTCAGGCATATATTGAAGAGTTGATAAATACTTGTCACAAAGGACAGTAAAATATATCACAACATGTAAACAAAAAACTAACCATATCAAGTATTAACACATTTATCAATAATTTCACTGTGGATCATCAGCAAGCAAAGCTAGACCTCCTTACTGGCGACCTTGGGGACTTAGTGTACCTTTGCATTCCGCAAGATGTCCCCGTGATGTAAACTCCATTAATTTCTGATGAGTATTTCAAAATTTCCATGCTGCAGGTTAGGTGAAATGGTGTCAAAGAATATTTCGCACACTGAGATACCATGCCATAGTTTAAACATGGTTCCCCACTCAGACATACATACTGACTCCGAGCCAGTCATGTCTTATTCTGTGTCCTTAATACCGAGAGCCAGTCCATGCTACAGAAAGATTGGTAGCACTTGTTTTTCATTTCACATGTATATGGAAACTAAAGCAGCTGATGATATTATTGTCGGTGTCAGTTTTCTGATTTCAGGTACATATGTACGTGAATCTTTTATTATTGTAAATTAATATTAAACCTACAGTTAAAGCCTTAAAGCCGGAGGTTCGATTCTTGACATGGCACAATGCAACATACATTTCAGGTACTAGTACCTGACTGAACACGGTCACGTACTCACCAGTGTTGATCGAGGGTGAGAGTGCTACAGAACACAATTTTGTTTACGGTTGAACATATGCAGTAAGAACTTACACATCATCAGAGAATTTTCACAACCCTGACATATTCAGCTATACATAACTGGCGTACGATCATCTATCTATGATGCATTGAAAGAATATAGAAATTGAAATACATAAGTCAACTCAGTCTTCATCGTCTGATTTTATATGTTCTATGTTACCTTTTGTGTGAATACAATGTAACGCCAGTTAGGGTAAATATATATGAGAATTAATAAAAAACCATCCTTATTCATCACCAGTGATACAATCAGTCTGTAAAACACACGAGTACTTATGAATGTGTCATTGCCTGGCTATGGTTATACCACCCCTCATATAACAGGTCCCGGATGCACACAGTGTTGCCAGTGAGACCACAGAAAGTCCGCGTGCCCGGGAATACATTAAACGAAAATACAAAAGCTGTGCACAGGTAGGGGGTATTTATCTGTTACAGGACTACATGGTCCCGGGTGCATTGCACTGAAGAAAATGTCAGTGGGTTAATTGTAATGGCAACATTTACTATGCATACAATACTAGGATTAGGTGTGTCCCCCTCCATGTCACGACAGAAATATTCACACAATTCCATTACATTTTAGAGCAATGACTATGAATAGCCTTTCACATGTGACATAAAATCGGATTCGAACAAATTCAGGTGACATCTTTGTTTGGAACGAGCATGTTCCAGCATCATTGGTCTAGTGGTTTTTCAGGAAGATGATGTTTACAAGAGGAAATGCAATTCATGCAATGAGGTAATTTAGGAGCATGGTCTAAGTACAAAGCTTTCACTTTAACGTATCGGAAACAATGGTACATATATATACATTTGAACAAAAATGTCTACCGTGGCGGCCATGTTGAAATTCAGATTTGACCCCTTTAACATACTGGGTTGTCATCATTTCAGCTTCATTGGTCCAGTGGTTTCCGATGAGAAACAGGCCACGACATTAACGAGATGAGATCAGGGGATTTTTTTCTCCCTTTCTGATTGTAAACTTATTTAGGAGAAAAATACAGCTTCATTGAAGAGCTACGTTACTTATAGATGTAACCACGCTATAATGAATTTAGATCCAAATATTTATTATGTAAATTTTCAAAAATGTTTACATACCTTAGAAAGTTATGTATCATTTCTGATATGAAGGGTATGCATTGGAATAGTTTATATACGATCATATTATCGGTACTAAAAAGGATGAAATTGGGTTCGCATTGATTTATGTTCATATAAGCTGATCTATGATGCATTGAAAGAATATAGAAATTGAAATACACCATCGGTGCCTCCTGACCTCATTAACCTCATAGAGCAAAGAATCTGGCTAAGCAAAATACTATTACGTAAGTTGATACACTGGCATTAGGTCACCAGTTTGATCACTTGCAGATTCTTCAGAATATTGTGAGAGGGGTAGTGAGATTATTATGATCACACTTCCGGCGGATCATACGAAATATAAATACATTAACATCTTGTACAGATCTCTCTCATCACCCATGGGTTTTAGGCAAATCTTTATGGATGTTTTATAAAAAAAACAAGGGAACGCTTGACCAAAACGAACAGATTGAGGTGTCACAATTCCGTATGTTAACAACGCGAGTAAACCCTGGCACAGTTTGGGCATGCTCCGTATGAGGCTCCCGATGGTGGCTTCTGGAATGCCTAGCCATTCATCTTGGAGAGCTAAATACTGTTTATCGGAGGCTGTCGTACATAGTCTTGGTAACGACGACCTCCGATGTTTAATGGGGCCGAAGTCGAAACTTTTGGAACCCCAGTTTAGCTGTTGGATTTGTGCAACATACATGGATACCTAAGCAGTGTGAGGACTTTTGCCCCGCCCGCAAACGGTCCCGCAACTGGCCTCCACGGTAACGTCATCCAGCCATGGAGGCGAATGGGGTCAGTCCTGTGATCCCAAACGTTATCCCGCACAACTCGATCACAGACCCTCATCATCTGTCATGCTTTTTTATGCTGCTTTGCACGTGACGGTTGTGGAGCTGCTGCCCAACGCGAACCCGACCACCTGGACTCAACATGAAATGACACCATTGGCGTAAATCTAGAAATCCATGCTACCGTACCACCATAAATGAAAACGTCTATGTGTATTTGTCTTTCTGGTGCCTACCAGATGACGACGACTTTTGAGAACCTACGATTTGAGGCGATTACGGCTCATACAGTCACGACGTCTGATGTGAAGAGTGTTTATAGAGATCCCGTAATGCAATGAGTCTTTTTTCGCGACCTCCACGAGGTTTGGTTTTGGGCTCCCCTTCACGAGCGCGTCTTATCACAACGTTCCTGTTTGCCTATAGATCGAGGTTCTACAGTCGTGGCGCCACACTGACCGATATCTGTCTGCTGCAGTATGTGTCGTTAAGGGTTTCCGGACCTAATGCAACTAATTACTGTCCTTTCTGTGCTGAACTCATGTATCGTCATACCATGGTTCCACAATGAAGACACGCCATGGTTGACGATGCACAGGCGATTGGCACGATTTCTGCGATTGGTTGTACTGATTGCAGTGTTAAGTTTACAGTCAGCTGTCGACAATTGAAACGTTCCCATGTTCATGACTTCATGAAGTATGTAATAAAATATAAAACACCACACAAGCACATCACATACGCATACGTACGCATATTCAGATACAAGTCATAAAAAAGAAAAAGGTTATTGACAGAATAGATAAAGTGGCGTCAGCTTTAAGGAACACATGAGGTGGGAAGATCTGTATATGAAAATATGTTTTCCATTACAGATGAAAATACAGTGTATCACATGACGCTTTTTCGAGGAACGAAAAATTCAGGATGAAAACAAATCTGGCATGGATGACTCTGGTGGGAATGAGACAACATCGGCAAAAGATCTGACAGGTAAACCGCATGTAAAAATTCGTATTGTGTGCAGGAAAGCATACACTTACCACCACATATTAGAATTGCAGATATTCAAAGGTTAAAGTCAGTAAGCTTCAAGAGTAAACAGTTTAGTTGAAGAACAATTATGTTCTTGTACGGCTAACAAACACCAGTTAAACGGCAGCCAAATTGTGTGAATCATACTTGAAACTATTGGACCCGTAGAGGTCCGGGTTAGTATAGGTCTTCAGCAACCCATGCTTGCCGTAAAAGGCGACGATGCTTGTCGTAAGAGGCGACTAACGGGATCGGGTGGTCAAGGCTTGCTGACTCGGTTGATGCATGTCATCGTATCCCAATTGCTTGGATCGATGTTCATGATGTATTTTATGGATGCTATTTTCTGTGTCAATAACAAAACTGAGTTCTATCAATGGATGCATTTGCATCTTTATGTATGATTTTTATTTTGCATAAAGTTAATCGCACATATCACAAGAACACCTGTAAACACATTGACATTCCCTTTCCAGGTTCATGTGAGAAGTGTCAGAGTGTTGAAAAGAGGTATGGGGAAATATCCTATGCTCTGAATTTGTTTGTCATTCACACGGAACGCCCTCATATTTGTGCTGGGAAGAGATCTGGACATTTGAGAGAAAAGAAAAAGTTTATTGACAGAATAGGTAAAGTGGTGTCGGCTTTAAGGAACAGTGGAGGTGGGCATCTGTTGGTCCATATTAACGGCCAGGAATCGGGAGATAGATGTCTTGAACAGTTTGATGAGGCAATTACAAAGAGTTTGTCGGATCTCATTGAAGATGGTCAGTTGTATGTAAACATATATAAGCGACAATGGTTGTCAGAGTTGCCTTTGTCTGATTTTCAAAATGACACTGACTTTATTTGGCTTAATGTGGAAAGTGCTCGTGGAGTAGCGACTTTGGATTTCAATACGAAAATAAGAGACGATATTGCCAATGAAAATCCCTCATACGTCGCATTGGCATGTTTACTATCCACAACCAAGGCAAAGAGATCACAAAGTGCAGAAGGCCAGAGTACACAAACTGATACTGTAGGCAGCAGTAGTACTGAACATATCGCAACTTTGTTCAAAAACCCACAGCAATATCACGAAAATAGGAACATAGAAAACAAGGCATTAAAATCTCAGATTTTGGAAAAGATCGGGAAAAGCGACTCTAGTTTCACACATTACATCTGGACGGATCTGAAACTAAAGTATAATGTGACATCCATGTCAAAGGTGGAGAACGGGGGTTCATTTTATGTTGGAATTGCCGAGGAGCAAAAGAAAGACACAGCAGAGTATGTAACCAAAGTGCCGATCATTGAAGGATTTCAATTGACAGTTGACCCGCAAGCCGTAACTAAACTTATACTTCAAAAACTCAAAGATACCGTTACTGTCTTAAAAGATGGTACTTTCCTTGATGCTCCAGATGACCTTATCGAGATAACCTTCCACAAGATACCCAGTGGTTACGTGTTAGAAGTTGCCGTGCGTTATTGTGAAGGACTTGTGTTTTATGACAAAGAGGGACCGAGGGCATACGAAGTGAAAGGCAATGAAATTCGTCGTATGGATAAAGAAGTGTGGTTGCGACGTTTCAGTTTATCTATGAATAACAAAACACTGTGTTTTAAGTGTAAGCAAAGAGAGAACTGATTTCTTTCAAAATGTCAGACAGTGACTCAAGTGTGTCCAGCTCGTACAGCTCTGATGGGCCGTACCTCATGTCGTATGGGAAGACATATGACGCTGATGAACCTGACGAGAATGCAGTCCTTTCAGGTAATAGAAAGTAAAAAGCAGCCCAATGAACAATTGGGATTTGTAGGGTTTGACCGCACTAATCATGACCACCGCCATATCATGAAAACAGACGTGGCGCTTCTAAGATATAAAGCATCAAGCATCTCCCTTTCATAGTTCAAAAGATTTTATTCACGACATTGATCTGTCCTGTCAATGGTCAATGCCATTGGCAGGACTGTTTATTTGTCTTAATGCGCTTGTTTGTTTTTTAAAACACGATGTGCTTGGACATCTCATGAATTTGTTATCCTTAAGTACATATCCTTTATAGCCCTGGGTAACATGTTTTAGACATGGATCCGTCAAGTCATTTTCTATATTTGTTAACTCGAGAAGTATTTACAGGTCAAAGAAACTAGGTACACACTACAGGGCCGTTATTTGAAACGGCCATGATTGATCTACGTATAAAGTCAAGGTCACAGTGAAGGTTGTCGGTAAAGTTTGTTTGGCCTTTTCACAAAAATGGCTTCCTTCATCTTTCCTGTAGGGGTATGTATGACAAGTGACGGAAAGCTTATGACCAACTTTCAATGTGGAGTATTTGCGATATTTCTGTTATATTTAACTTAACCGATGGACTTGCAACTGGAGGTCAAATTCATTCTCAAGGTCACACATTAAAATATTATTAAGTTTATGATAATGCAAGTTGTATTTACTGCAGTCAGATGATATTGAGTACATGTTCTTTGCGTTGGACATTGAAGTGGTAATGTTTTAGTGGCCTTCAGTGAGTGTCAAGGTCACTAGAATGGTCATTTGAAAGATAGTTCATCATATTATATTTATATGTATGACTTGAAATGAGGACCAGCGTTAATAATCTTGGAGTGTCTGAAACCTAGAGTTTTTCTCTAACAGAAATAGTATTGTTAAAACGGAAGTAACTGTACAGTCGCCGTGCTTAGGTCAAAAGCTGTCATTATACCGGGTGGTGTGGTGAGGTAGGCTAGTGGTTAAAACGTTCGCTCATCATGCTGAAAACACGGATTCCCTCACTTCCCACATTTTACAGCCCATTTCTGGTGTGATGCTGTTTGAATGCTACTTAAAGCATACTCACTCTCTCATGTTAAGATTTTGAGAGGCATGGGGCTTTTGGTTAACTAATAGCGACAAGCACTTTCCATATTCATAAGAGGGCTCTGCCAAAGAACAAAGTCGACTGTACGATTCCGACTATATCATGAGCATGCGTTCATGAATCACGGTCAAACAGTGAACATACCAGGTGTTCGCGAGAAGGTGAATGTATCCTGCCATACCTGTTGCTCCCGTCACAAACACATGTGGCAAGACAATTCTTCAACTGAAAAAGCAACAGGAACATATGGTGTCCGATTTGTGACAGCAGCACTATATAGCAGGTCCGACAATAAATGTCAGCATTTGTCACAGTCCAATGACTTCAGTGAGGGACGTGCTTCGTTCCTGAATCCAGCAAACGGTGTTGGAAACAACCATACAAGTCGGCACTGTCAGATAGGTATCCCGTTCATGTCGGGCAAGTAAACAAGTCGCTAGTCAGATTGTAAAAGCAATCGATTCGCTGTTATCTTGATCTTTTAGGTATGGCCAGTCTTCAAGAAACTGTAACCTCGCGACACTTTCGAAATAAACTGACGTCCAAAAGAAACTTTACCAACTGAAAATATAAATTTCAGACAAAGTATACATTTTTTTTCGATGAAGTCTATCTAAAACACATAACCTAAATACAACAATAGTGTATACAGAAAATGTTACATGTTTGCGTGATAACACGCGAAAAAGTGAAAAACACGTGCACCACGGACAACTGCAAATGCACGTGCGGGTAGGTGTATAAAACGATTGCAACGGCAAGTCAGACATCCACAGTGATAAAAAAACACAAAAGAAATGCCACGACTCACAGTCGAACAACGTGAACGATCCTTGGGTATGGTACAGATGGGAGCCACCCACGCCCATATTGCACGAACCTTCGGTTGCTCCCGTTGCTGATGGAAGACATCGTGGTTACCGCCGAAGGGGTGAACGAACGAACGGCGGCGTGTTGCGTGCAGGAGGTCGTACCATATGGTGGAGGGAGTGTCATGGTGTGGGGAGGGGTCTGTGGGCAGGGGAGGACACCGCTGGTCATCGTTGACGGTAACTTGACAGCTCAGCGGTACATGGATAACATTCTTCGTCCAGTTGTCCTACCATTTCTCCAATAGCAACAACGCTAGAGCCCATACAGCCAGAATTGTCACTAACCTTCTCGCAGCCAACAACGTCAACGTCCTGCCGTGGCCTGCACGCTCACCCGACATGTCCCCCACAGAACACCTCTGGGACTTGATGGATCGTCGTGTTCGACAACGACCACACTCTCCAGCCAACCGGCAAGAACTGATCTCGGTCCTCCAAGACAAATGGCGTCAAATCCCACGTGACCTCATCATAAGACTGACTTTTTCTGTGCGTCGAAGAGTTTGTGCGTGTATTGAGGCATTTGGTGGTCACACACGCTACTAATGACTTGTTATTGAACGTGAGCGATTGTTTATGTACTCTGCCTATTGTCCATGATTCTGAAAGCTCGAGTTTTGTACCACACCCAACTTTGGGGGGCTCTGACGTCATTCTCGGTCGCCGTATGATTGTCATTTTCAATGTTGATTATGTTGATATATTGATCTTCTCAATACACTTTACTTCATGTATGTATGTTTTGTTGTTTTTGAGCAAGAGAGATTTCAAACTCTGGTAAAGTTTCTTTTGGACGTCAGTTTAGTTTGTCTGTCCCGGAATTGAATTATGACTATAAACAAGGTCCTCACAGTGGAGCTCTCTGTCAAGCGCTGGGACGGAGCTTGCAACCGCACCAAATTAGGGAGGTCATGCTCTGGTGATATGACAAGGGATTTATATACCCGGAAATCCGATTATCTCGACAATATTTGAGAAAACGCACGTGTCCGGATAAGCGAGGTTGGACTGTACACTAATTTTGCTATATGAAGAAGGCCTTTTCTGCTATGCTGGAGGCCTTGATTATGTTGAGAATGAACTACCTCTTAACCTAGAAGCGAAATGTTTTTGTCGACTTCCGCTTGGACGCTCGCCCAGACGTGTCCTCCCAAGCTCGTGACCAAAACGCCCCCTCTCTAAGTCACTGCCGAGGGAGATTGTCTCCATCCTGGAGCCCTTGCTGGCTTACCGGGTTGGGGACTACTCCCTCAAGACGTCCTTCAAGACCTGCACCTCCACCCTCTCCATCCCTTTTGACTTAGGTCAGAGGAAGAGGCCTCTGGGCAAAGCTACGGCTTAACCCAAGCCTCAGGAGAAACCTACTCCGGCCCCAACCCTTCCTGCACCCCTCCCGGTTCAGAAGGCTAGGCCTCCCAGGAGGAAGAAGTCCCCATCAGCCTCCATCATGAAGATCGAGGAGATCCTTCCCCCGACGGGAAAAGGACCTCCGTGCAACTCTGATAGAGCGAGCTGACGTACTAATGAAGTACTATAAGTCCCACCCTGGCCTCCGCGCTGACCACATTGTGACCCCAACGGAACAGCTCTACGCCACCGAAAGCTCTCGTGCACCACTCGTCCTGGTGCAACACCTTGGAAACGAGATGTTCGAGCATGATATCTCCAACTTCACGGACCTATCACATTTCCTCGTAGATTGCGACACCAAGACCAAAAAGCACTTTGTCGCCCGCACCGCCGCCCTCCTCGTCAAGAGTCTCTTCAAATCCACAAACCCCAGGGAAGAGGATATTGCCAAGAGACTCCTTACAGGGTACCGCCGTTATATCTTCCAGCAACCACACATGCTGGCCTGCTGACCCCGTGCCTTCCACCGCTTGACCCCACCCCCTCCAACCCAAGCCCGATCTTTCCATATTATTACATACTTTTTTATCACCCATTCCCACCCAGCCAAACCCCACCCCTATAGCTTTTTTAAATTAAGTACTGTAAACTTTTACATTTTGGGGGGTTGCACTTCTTTACTTATTCTTTAGGCTTTTTTCCCCCCGGAGTAAAAGTGCAACCCCGTACGCGACATACGCTATAGTGTAATTTATTACACGCGGAAAGCGCACGTTAAATCTTCAATGACCTACCTACCTGCCATGCTGGAGGCCTTGATTATGTTGAGGATGAACTTCCTCTTAACCTAGAAGCGAAATGTTTTGCCAATTATCTCATAAATCCACCAAGAACTGAAACCTTTATAAGACTGACTTTGTCAACCAACAATATCATTGTTATCAAATATTTGATTACATGTCTTTGTCAAGTACTAGATATTTGAAACAAAACATCTATCCTTGTAACATAAAGTATGAAATGCTCCAGCTGTTTATTCAGTATGTATATTTCAATATTTTTTTCATTTTGTTTGTATTATAGTATAAGTCGGGTATCGCTTTTCCTATCACCTTTCTGCTTACCCCAAATATTTGATTTGATTTACGATTTATTTGATTTAATTTATGATTTATTTGAATTGATTGATGATTTCAATACATATTATTTAATAACTACGATACACAGTTACAGTAAAATAATAAATAAGTTATTTGTAAAAAGAAAGTGACCTAAGATTCTATAGTTATCAGGTAATTATATACATATATGTTTCTCTCATCCTCAATTATAAATAATTCGTAAGCCATAGGTTTTTTGGTTTTCATTTCAGAGCATGCATTCCCATTTCAGAGCATGCATTCCCATCAAGCGTATTATCACTGTCTGAACAACATGATATTCTACGTACATTGCACGAAGAATCAGACAAGCCGTGTGAGTAATTCCTTTACTATTCTATATGATAACAATAATTGTACTTGTCATATTAATAATAAAAGCCGCTGCTTATATACTGAACAACAAAAGTTCCTGTGACATTGAATACGATTTAATGCAAAGATAAAAGACTCCTGTAAGTGTTCAAATGGTTTAATTTGCCATACTGACTTCAGAAAATGCGTGATTTCAAAAACAACAACATGAACATGCCAAAATGTCAATTTACAAATCAATAGCGTGTGTGTCCACCTCTGGTTGCGATGCAAGTAACACATCTTCGCCTCATGGAATGGACCTGGCGTTCTGTGGGATATCTGTCCATATCTGCTGGATCATGTTTCGAAGTTCCTGGAGTGTCTGTGTAACACGTGGTTGACGTCGAAGGTGCCGATCCATCTCATCCCACATGTGCTCGATTGGTGAGAGATCAGGGGAGCGAGCCGGCCAAGGGATGACATTCACGTTGTTTTGTTGAAGTGAATCCTGAACAAGTCGAGCAATATGAGGCCGGGCGTTGTCGTGTTGAAAGGTAATGCCTGGGCCATTACTACGCAAAAACGGTAGAACAACAGGGCCGATGATCTCGTCGCGGTAGCGCTGTCCATTGAGATTTCCCTCTACCACTATCAAACGGGTCCTCTGTCTTGCTGTAATCCCACCCCATACCATAACGCTGCCGCCAACGAACCGATCTTCTTCCATGACACAATGATTGACGTAACGTTCACCTCGACGTCGGTTCACCCGAATCCGTCCATCGTTGTTGCTGAGGTGAAAACGAGACTCGTCAGTGAATAGAACTTGTCCCCCCACTGCATGGCCGTCCAGCGTAGACGCTGTCTGCACCAATGTAGACGTGCTTGACGGTGGTTTCCTGTCAAATTAGGACGTCTGGCGGGTCTTCTGGCGACAATCCCTGCATCTCTGAAGCGGCGACATATGGTTTGTGAAGATATTGGTCGAAGGCCATGGATGCTTCTTGCAGTCACTGTTGCTGGCTGGAATCGATTTCGTAGGTGTGTTGTTCGAATCCAGTTGTCTTGTCGATTATTGGTTACGCGTGGCCTGCCACTCCGAGTATGGTCTCTGACTGCATTCGTCTGTTGCCAACGTTGCCATAAACACAAAATGGTGTTTCTGTGGACGTTAAATTGTCTTGCAACATCACGTTGATTCGATCCTGCTTCAAGCATACCATTGGCTCACAGACGCTCATTTTGGGACAGGCGTGGCATTTCGTAATGTTGAATAATTGCGTAATTTTGTTGTTTTTCTGAGTAGTTGTTGTCAGCACGATGCTAAACAATGCACATGGACTCCCGTTAACGCACATGTTTTTATACCCATTCTTGGGTAGTGAAATGCATGGGGCTTGCATAAAAGTCAACTTTTGCATGGAATGCATGCTTTTCTGAAGCAGTTGCGTTTTTGTGACTTGATTCCATACATGTACTACAATATTGAAAACCAAACTTTACTTGTTTGAAAAATACACTAAAATGTTGTTGTCACAGGAACTTTTGTTGTTGAGTATATGTGTGCATCATTACAAAACAAGATTCAAACACACATGAATACTTAAAGTTATGGGTCAACTAGACGGTCCTTGTTTTGCGTGTTTTTCAGCCTTTTGGATCTTTCCTCAAAACGTAAGAAAGCACCTGTCAGACAAGTTTCCTCTGATAAAAAGAAGGCTGGAGGAACTGCTTCAACAAGACTGTGCCATCATCATAGCGGGTCGTAGTTTACTGAACCTGACAGAAGCATCCTGGCAGGGCCGAGTGCCAATGAGTGTCATTTGTGATGTGTGTGTCTTCTCCCCTGCACACCCTCTCATGATCCTCACCTTTACAACTCCAACAAACAGACCCGAGACAGCTGTCAGACACAACTCATCCTTGGCCAGGTCAATCATAAGAGCTATTGTAGGCGAAACGCAGATGAATTTTAATGTCTTTCGTGGCGTTTTGGATGAGAATGTGTGTCAGGCACGTGAGACATTCCTCGAAACAATAAATCATTTTGAGAAAATCTCTCACGTTTTGGGCGCTCTATCTTCCCAAACTCATGACATGTACACAGTACTGAAAGCCTTTCTGAAAGTTCTACATGATAACCAGCTACAACGACAAAGTGACATAGAGGTAACTGCTGTTTGTGTTCAAATGACAAATGTATTATTTAACAGGAAACATCAATACCCAATATGGAGCTAAAAGTTTAATAACATTCAAGATGGTCTCAAGTATAGCTATTACATTTTTTTAATGAAACTCTCACAACTAAGAGTTAAAAAAGCACAGTGGTTAAGACCAGTGGGGAAGGCTATGACTAGAAAAGTGAATAGTTTACCACTTTGAATAGTGAGTTGGGTTAACGCCGCTTTGAACGGTATTCCAGTAATATCACGTCGTGTCAGCTCAGTGTGCAGGTCTCAGGCGTTTTCCACTTTGAAGAAACCCATGAGCACGGATAAGGTGCTGACAAACTCAGAAATGTAATCGGCGCGAACCAGGATTCAAACCAACGATCATAGATTTCTGGTGTTCCTAAGGGACGCAGCTCAACTCGGCGAATTGCGGCGCCTAGGAGAATATGTAACCCACCGCGACTAGCGGGATCGGGTGGTCAGGCTTACTTGGTTTATGCACGTCATCGTATCCCAATTGCGTGGATCGATGCTCGTGATGTCAATCACTGGATTGTCTGGCCCAGACTCGATTATTTACAGACCGCCGCCATATAGATGGAATATTGCTGAAAGCGGATTTAAACAACAAACAAAAAACAAACAAAACAAAAAATCTTGCATTTGAACCCATTATCATAGGTTTCTGCCATGCCAAAGGAACGCAATTCTGCAAAGCAAATTGAGGTAGTCATGTGAAGCTATTAACAATCCTTTCCTCGTGTTATCATTTGTTGCCATTGTAATAATCCTTCAATATCATCACATACTATTAAAACAGTTCTACCATTTCATACAATTGTAATCCAATGGCAATTGCATAAAAACAACCCCACTCATAGAAATCGGTAACTTATATTTATGATTTACTTCTAAATCTACTACAGTCTTTTAATCGAACTCCATTACCTATATATTTTAAGATAATTTAGCATGACAGTAGCTTTATTGTTTTGGTACATTGCTGGTGAGAACTGTAGTCTAATATTCTCGTGCGGATAACTTGACGTGTTGTCGATGGTTCGAGGACTTAGAGTCTACAAGATTTCACTTTATCTACAGAGCCATCGCCATTTAAGAAATAATCTCAAATTGTTTTCTTTTTATATCTTCCCAGAACAAAGAACAAGACAACGAGACAGGTTTGCACACCAATAAATACCAGCAAGATGCAAAGTCGGTCAAACCACTTGTTATATACATCCACTTAGTTCATTTTGCAAAGTCGTAACACTTGACTAATAAACACTCTGGCAGGAGTAAATATGGGTAATTGAAGTTTAAATATTTACAAATATCATTAAAAGCAGCACTTAATAACAGGACGCTTTTTCTTATAACATTTCCATGTTGTATCAGAAAGGACTACAGCGCAGGAAGCGTCTTCTCCAATGATGGCTCCTGAAGACGATACAGCTACGGGAGAAAACAGTCATGTATCAACTCTTCCTGAACGACCAGATGACCAGTCGCCATGTCTAGAGGCATCTGCTACTAGTGCGAACGACAATGGACATGTACCTATTCAAAGACGAGAGGTATCCATTTATTTGTGTATTGGTTTAAGCCTGCTCATGAAGAGGGTTATGAAGGCCAAAAACATTGCTTGCTTACTTTCGTGGCAACTGTGTTTTATATTAATATGTATTTGGTATTATATATAAGATTTAACAACTGAATACTTCTTGTGAACAGACATATTTTGTCAATCCATTACTTTCGTCCATGTGAGCCATGCCAATTTACACTTATCAGAGGGGTCCACAAAGTACGTATTCTGGACTTTCAGATGTTGGACTTCCATTTGTTTAAACCTTGGTGGCTGAGTGGGTTAGGTCACTGATTTTGTGTTTGTGATGCCGATTAGGCAAATCGATGTTGAATCCACACAATAAAAGTTCAAGAATTACTTTACCAAAAAAGTGTTCCCCGATATAACGTATGTGAATACTTGTCCTGACTTATTTAATTGAGCAATATGTTTAATGTTACATGGGGCGAATACACTCTGTGTGTGTTTCTAACATGTCACTGCCTATTTCGTCATTAATGAGCATAAGTGCACAAGCACCGATAGGTCTGTTTGGTTTACTTGCAACTAATGCTTCGGTCAGTGCTTCGGTGACGACAGTCCGTATATCCCTCTGTCGGTAACACTCATATTCAAGATCAAATCCGAGGATCTTTGTATTCTTCAGCTTGCAATACAGAGATCGTCCTTAATGTTGGGTTAGGCATGGCTATGTTTCGTTAGTCGCCGCTATTCGCTGTGCAGGGACGTGCGTGTAACTTAGTAGTTGGTTCTGATCCCAGATACACTCTCAGTTTGATTCTTGGTGTGTCAGCACCGTGCCGTTGTTCGTGGGTTGAACTGAAGTGGTAATCGTCTGAGACCTACAACACTTCAGGTTTTCACCCCACAACATATTGACAAAACTGAAAAACAACGTTTAAAATGAAGTCACTTACATTATATGTGTCTGTTCCGATGTCTCTCTCTGATATAAATCTATGTGGGTACATTTAAATATTTTGTGTGGCCAGTGGAATTTCTGCAATCTGGCAGAAATGGTCAATTTTGTGTTCATCCCAGTGAATGTAAAAAGAATAAGTCGGGCTACTTTCATCCCAATATGATGTCAGGGAATGCAGATGCAATGTGACGGTTACTTTGACACCTTCTTCCTGGGCCAATGTGCACAAAATGATCTTTCCGCTACAATTACAATCTACAATCGAAATTTACAATTGGTGTGAGTCAAATCAACGCTTGGCAAAACATGTAGTACGCATCACAGATATCAGAAAATTGCTATGACAATCCACATTAATATCTTGTCGATAATCTAACATTTCGTGTCCATCCGAGTCTATGCAGACATAATTTTGAAAGATTCTCGCATCTTGCCTTGATCTCTTTGATATTTGTACATGCTACTCTGCGTTAATTTGTTTCTGACTTTGGATGTGTGTTAAAACATTCGTCACCTAATTCATGTCACGCGACAAAATGTATTCCCCTGCATTGAATGTTTTTCTCATTTTCTCCTCTATGCATCTGTGTCTTGTCATTAAACTAACGGTGAGAAGATATTCTGTTGATTTAACTTTACCTATAAGTATTGCCTGTGTATTGTTCAATGAAAAACTACACATTCGATCATTATATGGTCATATTTTGCGTCTATTAACATTCGAGCCATATCGCGATGGGAAATACTAAAATGTAGAGATGTAAAATGTATGTATTGGTACAGGATTAGATGGCTTTTATATGGTAATAACAGATTTTTGTCTCAGTGCCATATATCGGTACACTATCCACATAGATGTATATAACTTCAAAACTGTCTACTACTGGGACTTGCACCGTGTATTGTTACTTAAACTAAGACTTCTGTTGAACCAGTTCCATAAAACGAACACTTACACTTCAGTATGACGATCTTCTAAAGAGAATCGAGCAGCTGGAGCAAAGACAAGAAGGTAAGGATCAGGTTAACCATTATATTTAGGGCCTTTGCTGAAGTAGAAATCTTTTAGTGAATAAGTATTGTTTTACGCAGCGTTTAGCAATATTCCAGCAATATATGGCGACTGGGGACACCAGAGTCAGTGAATGAGTGAGTATGGTTTTACGCCGCTTTTAGCAATATTTCAGCAATACCAGGGCGGGGGACACCAGAAATGGGCTTCACACATGGTACTCATGTGGGGAATCGAACCCGAGCGAACGCTATAACCACTAGGATACACCGCCCCTATAACTTTTTTTAACAAAACGTCGTTCATTAACAGTTGATATGTCATTCAACATCTGCTTTCTTGAGTTTATGTATATATTGTTACTGATGTGGTTTCATTTACAGACATCCTGCAAGAAAAGGTAAACAATTCATACATTTCTTTCTTGTCTTTGTTAAAAAAAAGTGATTTGTTCTGAAGTAGTAACATCATTTAATGTACACATGTTTGGCTTCTCATACTCATATCATCCATATTACAACTAACGTCGAGGAATATTCCCGCAGCTCCAGACCTTGGTGCCTATATTTCACAACTTTTGAGGCAATCAAGCATGCACTTTCTACCGAGATTTCAAAGAGCGTCATCCAACTCAGAAGTTGTTTGATCAAGGTTACAGCATTCAAGGCCTCAGTAAAGCTTTCAAACAGTTTTATGGAAGATATGTGGAGGAGATTTCCAAATTTGACGCATCAGTGGCTGAATGATGTCGAATTCAATTCCCTATTTTAACTTCTACCATGTGTTCCCGTGTTTTATTCAGGTGAACAATTGACTCTGCCTTTGCATGTGTTTGTGACGGGTGCCACCGGTGGTGGAGGATACGCTCATATTTTCCCGATCACCTGGTATTATCACTATTTGAAAATGACTAATTAACACATGTTCATGATATAGTCGGAATCGTACAATCGACTCGTTTTTGGCAGAGATTTCTAATGAATATGGAAATGGTTTTGTTGCTTTTATTTATAGTCCGTTGTATTTCTTCATACAGGAAATGCTGCATCAAGATTACTTGACGGGTGGGTAGACGTACCTATTTTTGATTGGTTACATATTACCACCCCCAAATAAGTATGCATGTGTTGTCAGAACACATGTCAACAAAAACAGACAAAAAGAATTTAAACAAATAAATAACAAGTGACCGTGTCGGAATTGACCCTTGTAATGAGTGAGCACCTTGACTTCAAAGCTACCCTTCCACTGTTTGTTGACAAGAGTATGTTTACATTATTATCTCCCCTTTGCAACACAGTGCACTGAATAATAGTATCAATAACTCATAACTCATCACTGACACGTAATACTTACCTTGACATATGTTGTCTTTCAGATGTACGCCTGTCTCTCTTGATGAGAGTCAGATCCTCCTCATTCTCAAAGTCTGATTCTGGATTCTGTAAGTAATCCAAAGGTCCAAACGTTGATAAAGTAGCCGGCCATGTTGAATCTCTCAGCCGAGAAGAAAACACTAATCCATCTGAGGCTCGACTAACCTGTCGAACTAAATCCTACAGTAATAACGTTTGCTCTATAAGAATAATAAATTAGATTGATTTCAATGGAAACTGTCAATAGAATCGGAACAACATAATCACATTTCGATATATTATCGGACAAGAGGATGATAAAATATTGACTCATAACGGAATTTATGATATATATGGGTGTGTTTGCCGGTAAGATAAAGCCAAAATCATTTATGGAATTATTTATAATACAGGATAATTACCGTCCCAGTACATACGGATGTTAACCTCGGTACAGGAACAAAGGTTTTATTTCCAGATAACTATCAGTTCAACGTATTTTAGATTACAGCAATGGTGTATGGTTGTATTAACTTCTGTGATAACCTGATTGACCAAATAACAGTTGCTGTCGTTCTATATAGCTGAGACTGGATTGCTATATTTGACTCTCTAACTAATGTTTATGACAGTTTTACATTTTCTTTAAGCAACATCTACTTTAACGAGCGACAAGGGCAGAATATCAGATGCCGGAAAAGGGGATAAACGTGAGTTCAGTTTGAGTTTATCAATGAAAACAAACCCTGAAAATACATACCAGCCTTAAGTCTATCTCGAGGGATGAGGCCTCTTAACGTCGCCTTCACATGTTTTGTATATGTATTGCGAGCCTGAAAGCACGTTGAGGGTTGTGAATTATTGCTGAAAATTCCTAAACATTTCACAAATTAAGGTTAATAGTTGTTGATAGATTTTCGACACAGAATACCCTATCTGTCCACTGCTGTCCCTCAAAGGACAAACAAATAAAACTGGTGATACTTACATTGTTTAACAAGTGGGATTTTTCCTTTATAAGGTCCTACAATGTCACTGTGTACGCAATTGTGAGAAATGCATTTTTTGTTTTACCTAGGGGCGACAATGCGACAACGAGACATTTTATTCAAGGTCAAAATATATCGCATTGTCGCCCCATCGAAAATGACTGAAAGAAGTGTAAATGTTTGCGACATGATCGCGTTGTGGCGCATTTTTACGCCTTATTTTACACATTTATGATGGGGCGACAATGCGACATATTTTCACCTTGAAAAATGTCGCTTTGTCGCATTATAGCGGTTTGGTTAATTTTGACACTGTTTTCTTTTATTTTGTAAGGGCGACAACGTGTCAATGTCCCTTCTAGGATTCCATAGAAAACCGTTGTTGATGTGAACATATGTTAGTGAACATTTAATAACAGTCATTTTCACACACACACAAACACACACACACACACACACACACACACACACACACACACACACACACACACACACACACACACACACACACACACACACACACACACACATATATATATATACACAATTCTGTTGTCAATCTCTTACTAATCCAATATTTTAAAGAATATAATTATATGAATATGTATCGAAAATATCACCTTTAAACGTTTACCACTGGTAATTGACTGTATGTATCTAGACACCACACACCCAAACCATACAGTTAGAAATAGAAGGGGTCAACTGTTTTGCTAAGTTTCACTTAAACGTTTGCGGGTAGATTCCTGAAAAAGGCGCTGCTGAAGTATTCGGTTTTTTTACACAATATTGTTGTCAATAATTGTTAATATAGATGATCGTTGTGAAGCTCAAGGTGAACACCTACCTCAGCTGACAAGAAAAGAAATAGATGGAGGCGACCTGGAGTTGGTCAAGTTCAACCGAGAGGCTTCTCTACATGAGGCGTGTCAGGAGGGCAACCTGGATGCCGTGACGCACATCGTGTCCGGGGGACTGGCTGATATCAACTGTAGAGGCAGGCTGGGGAGAACTCCAGTCATAGTGGCAGCAACGGCAGGGCACCTGTCAGTAGTTAACTTCTTGATCAGGCAAGGCTGTGGTATCTTAGAGGTTGATGACAATAATGACACTGTCCTCCATGTTGCCTGTATGAGTGGAAATGTGGATGTGGTTAAATGTATTCTGTCAAGTTATACTATCAACATGGAGAAGAGAGGGCGATATGGATGGACAGCGATAGTCACATCTGCGTATTATGGCTCGAAAAATGTTTTTGACTTCTTTATTAGAAAAGGGTGTGATCTGTCAGTGGTCGATGATGATGGTGACAATATCCTTCACGTGACATGTCTTGGTGGCAATGTCGACATATGCAAGTACCTCCTCTCAAACAATGTAGTTGGAATAGAGAGTAGAGGACAATACAACAGAACACCCGTGATGATAGCAGCTATCGAGGGTCACAGAGAACTGTTTGACTTCCTTGTGAGTAAAGGGTGTGATCTGTCAGTAGTGGATGGGAATGGTGACAACATCCTTCACTTGACATGTCTTGGCGGCAATGTCGACATCTGCAAGTACCTCCTCTCAAAAGACATAGTTGGAATAGAGAGTAGAGGACAATACAACACAACACCCGTGATGACAGCAGCTAGCAAGGGTCACAGAGAACTGTTTGACTTCCTTGTGAGTAAAGAGTGTGATCTGTCAGTAGTGGATGGGGATGGTGACAACATCCTTCATGTGACATGTCTTGGTGGCAATGTCGACATCTGCAAGTACCTACTCTCAAACAATGTAGTTGGAATAGAGAGTAGAGGACAATACAATAGAACACCCGTGATGACAGCAGCTAGCGAGGGTCACGGAGAACTGTTTGACTTCCTTGTGAGAAAAGAGTGTGATCTGTCAGTAGTGGATGGGAATGGAGACAATATCCTTCACGTGGCATGTATTGGTGGCAATGTCGACATCTGCAAGTACCTCCTTTCAAAAGACATAGTTGGCATAGAAAGTAGAGGACAATACAACATGACACCCGTTATGATGGCAGCTAGCGAGGGTCACAGAGAACTGTTTGACTTCCTTGTGAGTAAAGGGTGTGATCTGTCAGTAGTGGATGGGAATGGAGACAACATCCTTCACGTGACCTGTCTTGGTGGCAATGTCGACATCTGCAAGTACCTCCTCTCAAAAGACATAGTTGGAATAGAGAGTAGAGGACAATACAACAGAACACCCGTGATGACAGCAGCTAACATGTGTCACAGAGAACTGTTTGACTTCCTTGTGAGTAAAGGGTGTGATCTGTCAGTAGTGGATGGGAATGGAAACAATATCCTTTACGTGACATGTCTTGGTGGCAATGTCGACATCTGCAAGTACCTCCTCTCAAAATACATAGTTGGAATAGAGAGTAGAGGACAATACAACAGAACACCCGTGATGACAGCAGCTAGCAAGGGTCACAGAGAACTGTTTGACTTCCTTGTGAGTAAAGGGTGTGATCTGTCAGTAGTGGATGGGAAAAGAGACAATATCCTTCACGTGACATGTCTTGGTGGCAATGTCGACATCTGCGAGTACCTCCTCTCAAAAGACATAGTTGGAATAGAGAGTAGAGGACAATACAACAGAACACCCGTGATGACAGCAGCTAACATGTGTCACAGAGAACTGTTTGACTTCCTTGTGAGTAAAGGGTGTGATCTGTCAGTAGTGGATGGGAATGGAAACAATATCCTTTACGTGACATGTCTTGGTGGCAATGTCGACATCTGCAAGTACCTCCTCTCAAAATACATAGTTGGAATAGAGAGTAGAGGACAATACAACAGAACACCCGTGATGACAGCAGCTAGCAAGGGTCACAGAGAACTGTTTGACTTCCTTGTGAGTAAAGGGTGTGATCTGTCAGTAGTGGATGGGAATGGAGATAATATCCTTCACGTGGCATGTATTGGTGGCAATGTCGACATCTACAAGTACCTCCTCTCAAAAGACATAGTCTGAATAGAGAGTAGAGGACAATACAACACAACATCCGTGATGACAGCAGCTAGCAAGGGTCACAGAGAACTATTCGACTTCCTTTTGAGTAAAGGGTCTGATCTGTCAATAGTGGATGGGAATGGAGACAACGTCCTTCACGTGACATGTATTGGTGGCAATGTCGACATATGCAAGTACCTCCTCTCAAAAGACATAGTTGGCATAGAAAGTAGAGGACACTACAACATGACACCCGTGATGACAGCAGCTAGCAAGGGTCACAGAGAACAGTTTGACTTCCTTGTGAGTGAAGAATGTGATCTGTCAGTAGTGGATGGGAATGGAGACAACATCCTTCACGTGACATGTATTGGTGGCAATGTCGACATCTGCAAGTACCTCCTCTCAAAAGACATAGTTGGAATAGAGAGTAGAGGACAATACAACAGAACACCCGTGATGACAGCAGCTAGCAAGGGTCACAGAGAACTGTTTGACTTCCTTGTGAGTAAAGGGTGTGATCTGTCAGTAGTGGATGGGAATGGAGACAACATCCTTCACGTGACATGTATTGGTGGCAATGTCGACATCTGCAAGTACCTCGTCATGAGAGGGATAACTGATGAGATGTGTAAAAAGAACAAACGTGGTGAAAAACCACTGCAATTGGCAGAATCACGTCGCCACAAAGATGTTGTTGGCATTCTGAAATCCGTTCCAAAACGAGAGTGATGCGTAGCTTTTTCAGCAGAAAGAAAACGCAGTAGATGTATGAATATTGGAATGGTCAATACGCTGCATGGCATACATATATGTACTTGAACATGTTTCATCACAGAGAACTGTTCGACTTCCTTATGAGTAAAGGGTCTGATCTGTCAGTAGTGGATGGGAATAGAGACAATATCCTTCACGTGACATATATGTACTTGAACATGTTTTCGTACTGGCCAATAGAGGCATCATTTATTAAACAAATACTGTGAGGTGTGTTTTAAAAGTATGACGCAAAATAGCGTCCGTTAGAAGTGTATATTGGAGGACTTGTTCCCGACCAGAAAAGTATTCAAGATTTGTCACACAGTTAAAGACATGTGACTGACGTTAAAACCCTCTAGCCGATAGCAATATACATAAACGAGATAAACAGTATGAATTTTCCTTGCAACTGTCCTTAAATGTATACAGCTGTTGCCTGGGCCTGTTTTTGGTAAATATCACGTTTGTCTAGTCACCTCAAGTGATCATGCGACAATACTCTTTTCAGGGGTGGACGGGGTGCCATGGGTGGCTCAGTCGTCTAAGGCGCTCAAATCGCTGTGCATAGTTGCGTCCCTTGGACTCTGTACTTGAGTTCCAATCCCTGTTCGCCCCAATTATGTTTCTAGATTTCTCAGCACTATACCCGTGCTCTTCGGTTTCGACAAAGTGGTAAACGCCCGAGACCTGCATCATGTCGGGCATCCCTTCCACACTGAGCTGACACGCTGTGATATAACCGGAATACTGTTCAAAGCGCTCATAAACCCAACTCACTTACTCACTATTTACAGTGGCAATGTGTACATTGCCTTTAAATGGTGTGGAACAATCTTACAACAAACCTAAAACTACTTAAACCCCCATATGACATTTAATAAAAGAGAATTTGGAAAATCCCATTAATGCACATACTTATCTTGAATATCAATGCTGTAAATATACTCTAAAATTTGTCTTCGTTTAAAATATCCAATGCATATTGTTCTATTGCTGCAGTCAGTTGAAGACATGATGAACGTTGATATCAGAGGGCCATTTTCAAAATGATAAAACTTTAAACAAACGAGTAAATATTCTAAATACACCAGTGAAGGTTGTTATACGTATGTACATTTAGATCAATTATTACATTCTGTTTCAATACTAAGTTCCCCTTATTTGAACAACAGAGTTTTGAAATTAATCCTTTGCTTTTGATCAACAAGTTAAGATAAACAATATTTCAAAAGGTCTAATTAAGGCAATACGGTTATGTCAGTCTAACAGTTGCATTGTAAATATAATAACACTTTCTATTCAGGTTAATTGTTTGTCGTATATAAACCGTTCATACGATGGTTGTTGATAGTTTCTTACTTTTATCTTAATATTTTGTGTATCATTTGCAATGTTATTTCTGTATTTTGTACTCTGGGATAGATTATATGTCAAGAATTTTCATTGGATATCATTGAAATCCTCTGAGAATAACGTTATGTTTTAATAGCAGTTGATGATCACTGTGTCAAAATAGAACTGGCACATGACATTAAATCATGCAAGGACTTCTATTTCACCAAATCGCACGAATGGTGCATCATTATATATTGTTTTCTCTAGTTTTACCAAGATCATCATGCTGTTAGAATGTTAGTTTTGTTCCAGGAGATATATCCACCCTTACACATACACATCCCTTCATATATTTTATATTTTCTCTCGTTAACAAATTATTGTGGTGAAATATGGTGAAGGTTTGGTACTCATGTGGTCCCTTCCTTGCTAATCTGATTCTTTATGCATATTTATCCGTATTTCTGAAAATTTCAAAACACGAGAATATGGCCAATAAGTTTAACTTAAGCTTCGATTCGGGTAAAGCGATGATCTCATATCGTTCAGTATGGATCTAATAGCTAATAACTTAAGCTTCAGGTATATCGACGATCAGATATTCAATACTGGTCAAATAGCAATTCCCTTCCCCTCATTTACCCATCTGAAAGAAAACGTTTCATCTGTTTTATATTAATATCAATGCAGAGAGATTCAGAGTGACAAAAATATCCATAAAACTGTAAAACCCATGTTCAAGATACAGTCAGAATCGTACAATGGAATCTGCTTCAACTGTCCCTACAATATTAGTGAATACACTATTGTGTCTTCATGTGGTGCACCATGGAACAAACGCTTTGAATTTTCAAGTTAGCATTGCTTCAAATTTGTAAATATTTCATGTTTTAATTCATAACGTAATGACTATCTCCGTCTATAGTCCATATGCACGCATATAAATAATCATTTCCATTACATTCTAACCATTCCATCTAAAGTCATCACACAAAGAACAGATCAGGTCAGATAAGATCTATTTGTACTTTGCTTATATTTGGGAAGTTATGTGTTATACATGTATACTCTTTCATACTGAAGGGAAGAGTGAACAGTGGCAATGCTGTCACATCAACTTTGGTATCAAAGCCACGACTGCATCTATCTTGGAATGAAACATTACATCTAACATGCTGCGCCTGCTCTGGTGAAATTCAAAACGTTCAGTGTCTTTTGATTTATCTGTGATGTACTATTAAAACCCATATGTACATTGTTTGTTTATCACTGAATCGTCATCTTTTTGCGTAACGATATTAATGTGACTCAAGGCGAATGAAAACGTTTTGATGTTACGTGTACTCATGGAGGCGAAATAAATTAATAATGTTGATACTGTTGAAGTAACAGTCCATCCTTTCCACGCTGTGCGTTTTAAACAGGACATGTACTGCAAAGTTACATGACAGGTAGTGGCAAGTATAATATATGTACACGTCCATAACTGCAATGACAGAATATTTCTGATTGATTATAATGATTTCCACTGCAATAATTGTGGATAACATTCATAAGACAGGTCAGTCTGTGGTTGTACATCGAGGGCTGTGTAGCCTTCTCCAGAGGATAGATAATTACTGAGTGTAGAAACTAACTCCAATTATGGTGGCATTAAGCTACTAAGTGTATGACTTACAGTTTTCATCTCTTATATCCCATTAATTCTGTATTGTTGTATTTTATAGTTGCTTCATGAAAATAAAGATATCAAATAAAATCTATGAATCTGTTCTTGTTACAATGCAGTTGATGTGCAAAATCAAGAACGCTCGGACCCGTCCCCTTCGGCGTCTGTCCGAACCTGGGCCGCATATTAAGTTATCATTCGTTTTGCTTCAACGAAATGTCCTTTAAAGTTTATGGCCGCCCTCTGTTTCATTGCAGTAACTTAGCTGCGAACCATGAAATGATAGTACCAGACGCCATCTTGTTTTCCATCAGATGAGTCAATATTCATTACGTGACATGTCAATACTGATCATGTGACAAGTCTATATTCGAGGTCAGTGTCAGTTACATGATTTGGGGGTCTACATTACAATGTATTGTTTCGTCACATGATGACAGATTAACCAATGGAATTGCAAGATTAATAGAGGAATAACAATTCACAATTTATGACCTGAATGTTAACAGTTTTTAACCCGTGAACGAGAGCAATGGAAATGCAAGTATTTTATAGGCACATGATGAAATAGTATTGACTTTAACGCAGTGGAGTTTGGGTTTCATCCATAAGCGATTGACCTTTTTCAGTCTAGTGGTCATTAGGTGAGTATAGCCTGGCAATTTCAGTTCACCCACATCATTAGCCCATCTTTCTACACATGAAATTATGTTATATCCAGACAATCAATTGATAACGTTAAAAAATTCCAGCTTTTGTAAGTCTTTTCGTTATCAGATTGTGTGGTTAAAGTTGTCATTACCTTGCCACTCCGCTATCTGCTGGTGGATCTCGTCGTCACACACGTGCACGGGGTGAGCGTCTTCATTGGAGTGATGTCTGCACCATCTTCTGTAGGTGTGTATATCCTACTTTCGATGTATGGTTTTTCAGCGTCGCAAATGTATCTGCTTTTCTTGCTGTGTCAATGAAAGGCTTTTATTTCGACGTGTTTCCTTCATCCGCTGGCTATAGTCTTTGGATATGCCAATAATGTGTCCCTTTAACTTCTTTGTTGATTCAGGATTGTTGTCTTGTTTTTACTGTGACAAGAATAGCTTTTTTTCAGAAAATTGTTTATTTTTACATGATGTTTAAGATAGTGTATCAGCTTGTCCCTGAAGACAAACGTTTCTAGTTCTTTAATTTGTTCAGATAAATCTTGAAAATTGTCTTTCATCTCTTTTCGCATTTCATATATATTTCAAAAACAATAAAGTTGAAGTCATGTCGTTGATGGCTGTTCATGTTACGTCGCCATCGTCATGGTAAAGTAAGGAGACTTCGAATCTGTATTCAATCAAATGAGGGATACAATCAAACCTTGTTAGTCCGGACACTTTTAAACCTTCATCAGCACGACAACTCCTCTGAACATTTACATGAGCATACAAAGTGTGATTTCTCAATAAACATGCTCGTTGTGTCCGGACAATTTCACTTGGATCGGTACCTACTGTCTCAATGGGCTTACAGTGAATAACGTTTGTTTTGGGTGTATCATGGCTTGATTAGACAAACCAGTGATTTATATTATGAATATCGTCAACACCATCGGTGTGCGATGACACGCAATCATCCAATTCACCGACATTGAATATCCAACTTTTTAGTCATCAAAGGAGGGCTTGGAATAAATTCTGACAAGGGTTCGCACCATCCACGATTTTTCGGGATATTATTTCTTCCACGTTTTTTTCACTTTTAAGGGCAATGAAGTGTTTCGTCGGATAATTTCAGAAGTGACTTCATTGTCGCAAACCCCCAAGATACATGTATATTTATAGTAAAGGAATGGATATATGTCACAGGGTGAGATATATAACTAGTGGATAGGGGTTGTAATTATTGAATTTGATCACTTTCCATCTTTGGTAATGACTAACTAGTGTCGTTCAAAGTGCCCCCATGCCTAATCTCACATTTACAGTCATGCTATTCAACCTTGTCGTGGATTGGTGTATACGTTTAGAAATAGTTTATACACATTCTCAGTTCTTCAAACAGAGGCGTGGGTGTCTTTTCGTCATTATGATTGAAATACGAAAGGAATCCAATGGGGAGCAAAAGCAAAGAATAATGTTTAGGCTTCTTAGTGACTCATTTTCGATCCAACAACAAAGTTATTCCAACGCAACCCCAAGAGTTTGTTTCAGAGGCGGTGCACGGGCCAATAAACTACTGGAAGTGCCGCTATTTAAGACTTAAGCAGCAAGTGGTTTATTTTACCTACATTTTTTTATCGTATGCTAAAGGACAACGAGTCGTTTATTTATTATGAGATATAAATAGTATGTACAACGTCTTTACAGATGATGATAAGATTTAAGAATATTAATGCCATCCGACCTCGGCAATGTTGGACAAGTCCATTTTATGAACAGGTGGGTTAAGTTTGGTATGTCCGGCATATTCTCACAATCCTTACGTCGATTATCTGTACCTTTCCTCCCAATACCGATTGTCGTATACCTCCCACTTTTGGATGCCATCGTTCGGCCACTGCGTTAATATGCATTACCCAGCTACATCTACTCACGAGACACTTCTCTCTAAAAATAACGTCGTCACATTTACGACGTCATCAAGTTGCGCATCTTCTAATCTCCATGACAGAACAATGTTTTATCCTGAAACTAACCACGCTTCGTTCTCCATTGTTCTTTGCGATTTATCGCGTAGTCGTCTTATATATCAATATACATATATTTAAAAACAGCTGGTTTTATGGGTAGATAGTTCACTTAACATCACCAGTGTTACCTAATCGCAGAGACTTATGACGAATTGTCCGATATCCTAACACTCAAACCCGATGTTGAACTCTCTCACAAAGGCTTCGGAGCATACACTAATCATTCATTCGGCACGGATAATCAGCAATTCCTCAGAGTTCGTTGAATAATCTCAAAAGCAGTTTCAGAAACATGCATTATGCAGTGGCGATACACACCGATATAGCCTGTATCTGAGGAGTGCACAAAACCTGATCACTCACCCTGTTGCAGCAGGACATACTTTGACATATCTCCATTTAACGCAGCTTCGAACAGCATATCATTTTATATCACGACGTGTCAGTATGATGCTTATGGAAAGTGATGAATGTTCTAGACGTTTACTGCTTTGGCTGAAACTTACGAGCACGAGTTTAGTGCTGACAAACTTAAGAACATAATTAAGGCGACCTGAGATTCGAACTAAATATCATAGGTTTCCGACGCTTCCGGGGGGACTACCGGTGTCTCTGTTGTGAAAAGTATGAACCCATCAATATGGATTGTGTTCACTGATACACAGTTGAATACAGTTTAAGTATTAGAAGAGCACTGTGAATTAATATGAGAAAATACTGTATGTTTGCAGCGA